AGTAAGTGACCGAGATGCTGAGTCCTTGTCGTCATCGCTTTCAAAGGGGTCTCAGGATGGACCATGCAGTCCTCACGCTGTATACCTGAGAGTCAAGATGATACAACAGGGCAATTTCCGGATAATAGTAATAACCCCCGGAGGACACGTGGACGAAGCTTTTCACTAATTCCCAGCTTTCTGTTTGTCAGCTTTACTTCTGAAGGCGCCTGTTCCCTGTTCTATCAGATGGAGTTTATTCCTATCGGAAAAGGTTGCCGAGAGGGTGAGGTGAGGGGTGTCCATGAAGGAACCCAGACCCGTGCCTGGCACGGGGTCCCCTCCCCCCTCCCGGGGAACTAGAATCGCCTTTCACTCTGAGGCTCTGCTCATTGCAGAGCCTCCCTGGTTCCTGTCGTCTGTCATTTTCCGGTTAATCTGACGCCGCAGTGCCCCTGGGCCGCTTCTCCTTCAGCAGGTGACTTGTTCTTCCTCTTTAACCACAGGTTATCTGTCCCCTCGGCCCCAACTGGCCATTCTCATTACCGGAGGCCTTGCTGTGCCTTTTCGTCCCCCACCCCCACATCCCTCCTTCCTGTGTCCGAACAATGAAGTGAAAAGCGGCTCTTTGCAGCGTAGCGAACTTTTCTCCCTAAAGCTGTCCCTGGCCGGGGGCCTCTCTTCTCTCTGGGTGCTGCCTCATACCCTCCTACAGCAGTGGCTAGAGCTGGAGTTCAGGGTGACTTCATTTCAGCTCACCCCATTCCTGCTGAGCAATGACTCTGTCTAAGATACAGTCGGGTCTGCGACTCGAATGCTGTTAATTTCACATGTACTCTATCAACCACACGTTGTAGGAGATCAGAAACTTTCTTTTCCTCTCTCCCACCCACCCCCACCACCTCCCGTAAATTCCCCGTCACCACCACTGATTCCTTCTTACATCATACCTGTTTTCTTCCAGAGCAGAGAGGAGTGGGGTGCCTGTTATAATACAGAGACCACTTGAGTCTGATTGGCAAAAACACACATGGGCAGAAAGGGAGTCATAGACACTCCGGCAGTTTATATCAAAAAGATCCAGAGGTCTTGATGGAGTAGGTACAACACCTGATTTGGTCAACACATGTTCAATTGTCATCTACTCCAGGTCAAAAATTGTCCTAGAAAATGGGGTCCAAAATTGATGAGCTTTGACCCTGTTCTTGAGGAGGTCACAGTCATGTTAGGAAGACAGGCTTGTATCAAATGCTTCAAGTATTTTGTGCAAACCAGAGAGAGAGGGGACATGCAGGCATCCAGTGAGCCTGGGACAAGCCCAGGGAAGTTTCCACCAAAGAAGGTATGCTTAGGAGGGGTCTTGAGGGATGAATAGGAGTTTGGAGTGTAGGTAAGGAATAAATGGAGATTCTAGGAAGGGGAGCAGCCTGGATAAAGAGTCAGGCTAAGGTATGAACAATGCACGGCATATTCATAGATTTACAGGATTTTCCCTCTTCCGGGTAGAGGGAGAAGTAAGCAGTGCAAGAGACACGAAAGGTGGGCTGGTGTGTGCGGACAGCTAACGTCAGGGAATGGCTGGGGATGAGGTTGCCTCGGGAAGGCATGTGGAATGAGGAGAGAGCTCAAGCAGAACCCGTACAAACAGCAACTTTTAAAAAGTTGGAGGAGGGGCCAGAAAGGACCATCTGCAAGGAAGAAAGGTTGGCCAAGGGAGGGAGGGTTGCAGATCGCGTCTGCCAGGCACAATCGGATGTCCCAGAGAAGCAGGAAAAGTTGAGACCAGGGAGTCCACGTTGGGCAGGGCAGCTAAGGAGCCAGGCACCTTGGTTTCTCTGGTATATCCTTCGTGTTTAAGTCTTGTGTACCATAGAATTTCCCCCAAACTGTTCAGAGGGTTGCAGCAGGACACTTTGGCAGGAACTGTGAAGGGTCTACACACAGTAAGTGCTCAATAATTGCAGTTTCACGAGAATCCCCACTGTAATTTGCTGCTCCGTTTCAGTCTCCCGTGGCATTGCCGGTTTTTTTCCTCACTTTCCCACACGCAGGCAATCTTTTAAAATTGCAAACTGGATCTTTTCACATCTCTGCTTAAAAATCCTTCTGGATCAAGTCTGAGCTCATGCAGGGCCCCGCTGTGCTGTGGCCTTGCAGCCCTCTTCTGCCTGGTCCCACACCCTCTCCTGGCCTTCAGGCTCTGGCCACTCCAGCCTCCTTCCAGGTCCTCCCTCCACCACACTTCCTGCCATGTAGGAGGCTCACCACAGAGTCTGGAGCCCTGCTCCCCGTCCTCCCTGCCCAGCGGTCCTCACTTCTCCCCACACACAGCACTTCCTGCTTTCCCATTTGTAAGCAAGTGTTCCTGTAACTTTGTGGGTATTTTCATGCCCCTCCCCCCCGCCCCGCTGCAGGGTGAGCTCGGTGCACATAGGGGCCCTGCTGTCCTGCCACCCTGAGGCCCCATCTGCATTTTCTCCTGCCAGACTCTCAGCCCCTCTTTAACCACTGAACGGCTGGGCCCACCCTGTTTTCTCTTCTGGCTTCTGCTTGGCGTCTTTGCTGCCACCCAGGTCTGCCTGTCTTCCAAAGTTCCGCTAACACCCACCTTGTCCACGAGCCTTCCTGAATGCCTCCAGCCTCTGGAGGGGCCACCGCACTGCACAGATGTGTGATGCCCTTAGTTTGCTTGGATGCACCTTTTGAAAGTGCCTTCAAGACTTAGAAATCTCCAGGTATGGCCACCCTGCAGCGTAGTTCTTCCCTGGCTTCTGGAAATTCCCTCACTGTGGAATGATGGGTGCAATAACAGCGTCCCCCTCAGCCAGCTTCATGGATGTGCAGCCAGCACTGGCCCTCTAGGCCCCAGGCTCCGAAGGCCCCAGGCTCCGAAGGCCCCACATTCGGCATACTGCTGTGTGTCAGCATCTCGAAATTTTGACTGTTTGAACCAGGGCCCCGCATTCTCAGTTTGCACCGGGCCCTACACTTGCCTTGTAGGGGCAGCGCGAGGAGCCAGAAGAGACTGCGTGAGCTCTGCCTCCCCCGAGGCCTGGCACACAGCGGGCACCCTCTGCGGGGTCACCTATCATCATTTTAGCTCTGCTCAACCACAGCCACAGTCAATAATTCATTCTTCTGTTTGCTCAGCTTCATTGACTAAGTGCCATGGTCAGAGGCGTTGATCAACTGTGTAAAACCCTTCTGCAGCTGCTCCTTACCCTCTCAGGGTCCCAAACCTGGCCAGCCTTCAGAGTCACTGCTGGAACTTGTTAAAGACAGATTTCTGGCCACACCCCAGGCCCACCGACCTGGACTCCCCAGGGTCATGGCTCTGACTCCGTGTTGCGCTGTGCCCTCGTTTGTGCTGTGATGTGGGCGGGACAGAGTTAGCAACCCTCGTCCTAGGGGATCAAGTCTTGCAGCTTGGCAGTGGTGGGTGTCCGTTCCAACCTGGCCCCAGCCTGCCTTTCCAGCCTTGCCTTGCTGCCACGCGTACCCTGACCCTACGCCAGAGTGTTGGCTTTCCCTGACCACCCAGCGAGTCCCTTTTACTCCATCAGTACCTGTGTCCCCCTCTGAGAAGGTGTCCCTAGAACCCTGGCCCCTTTATCAGAACCCTTGTGCTCACTCAGCACCCAGGTGCATGTCCTGTTGCATCTGGTGGTTTATTTCTGGACCTCGATCCCCTGTAGCCTGGGAGCTCCTTCAGGGAGCTCATCTCTGCATCCTTCTGTTAGCATCAGTAATGAGCAGACACTCAGAGTCACTCCACACGTGTTGGAGTCTCCCTGTGCTTGGGTCCGCTGGTGCCCCCCTCCCCCCAGCCCTGAGTCCAGCCAGTGCTTGGCAAGCCACCCCCCCACCACACACTGGCCACCCGGTTGAGCCAGGCTGTTCTGTCGCACAGGTGTTTGCCTCAGTGCTCACGCTGCAGCCCAGCAAACCAAATGCCTTTACAGCCTTTGGTGCTCATCTTGTCACCGAGAGACTCTGTGGGAATAGGTCTTGCCTAGAGAACCTTCCCTCCCGGGAGCCTTGTATGTACAGGAGTCATTCCTAGAGGTCATGCACCTATTGTGTAAAAAAAGGCAGCATGTACAACATAAAACTTGTAACAAATGCTCCCTTCCTCGGTCTTTTCCCTTTTGGAGATGACTGAGTGCTGCCAAAACTCAGGCTACTGAGCTAGTTCAAGCCAGTCCCCAGTTCTACCAGTAAGAGGCTTTATTGTTGTTTTATCCCCCGGACCTGTTGGTTTTGAAATATACTTCCTACCCTTTTAATCTTTTTTGCATTGGCTAAAGGCAGCTGATGACCACACCAAATGGCTTTTTTACTTTGATCGAATACTCATTTAGGCTCTGTGGGCACTGTGAGCTTTAATGGCCTGCACCTGTGCCATAAAAAGACCGTGCTGGACTGATTGAAGGTGATTTCCTGAGCACCTACTGTGTGCTCCTGCCAGAGGGCGAACATGCAGACAGCAATTCAGAAGAGCATGCCATTCTGATTCTCAGTGCTTGTTCGTTTTCCTGGACTCACGTGGTAGTAATGATACTCAACACCTTCATTCACAAAGTGCTTCTTGCGCTGTTCTCAGCGGCCCTGCGAGACAGGAATGAAAGCCATCTGATGGATAATGGAAGGAAGACGGCAGAACACACCAGGGCTCCTGTTCAGGGCCCACATGTTCTGCTCCTATCGGTGTATTTTGCCCCGTGGGCAGAGATCTAGACTAAGTTGCTGACCTCCTTGAAGCACCTCGCACATGCCATAAGGCTTGGGAAACCCTTTCCTCCACTTGAATGTTCCTCTTGGAATTGAAAAAGGTGGTTGCTGATGTCTGGAAACTTCTGAATTCCTTGGGGGGATTCGAGCTGTTGGGCCCCTCCCCCCGCTCACCAGGGCGCCCCCTCTTCCTGCTCTGTGCTGCGGCAGCTGTTGGTGGTGCGGGTGCTTTTGGAGACTTGGGGAGTGCTCTGTGTGCCCTGTAACCTCCTTTCTCCTCTCTCTCTCAGGCACATCTCACTAACGCTCCCTGCTACCTTCCGAGGCAGGAACAGCACTCGGGCTGACTATGAGTACCAGCACTCCAATCTGTATGCCATATCAGGTACGTGGGGCCTCTGCTCATGGCCAGCTACCGCGTCTGTGTCCCGGGCACCATCTCCCTCTGCGTGTCTCCTGGCTTCGAATGGCATCTGTCTTAGGTCTCTTTTTCACCCTGCAAGGGGCCTGTCCCCTGCAGAGATCAGCCCTTTCCTTCCTTTGTGTCACCTCAGCGCTTAAAGAAGGGCCAGATACTCAGCGCATTTTGAAACTAATGATGAAAAACAGTGTGTGGATTTCACGAGCTTGAAGGGTGGTTTCCAGAGAATAGTCACTGCATTGTTCACCTGCCAGAGCCAGGGCGAGTTTCCCATGGGGTCTCGGGAGCAGCACAGAGCTGAGGCCCAGCCCGCTCACCAGCCTGTGTCCAGGTCTGTCCTCACCTCTCATTTCCCAAAGCCAGGTTTGTGGCCAGAAGGGACACGGGCAGTCTCCCCTCCCGCCCCCATCATAAGGGTCTGTGATTTCTGAACTCGGCCTTGAAATGGATGGTGGTACCTCGGCAGGGACCTCAGCAGTGCGAGTTTGCCTTTCCACCTTCACCCAGGGAGGGGAGCGCTTACAGGCCTGATTGCAGAGTGGAGATTCATTAGGTGCCTGGCAGCGCAGGTGACCCTCTAAGAGCCGGGGAAACCCACAGGCTCACCTCCGATTATCCTCAGCCTCCACTCAGGGGCATTTGTAGCTAAGGGGGAAGTGGCAAATCAGTGCCACTTACCAGCGCACGCCCTTAATGGTGAGTGACGTTTTGAACACGGGAACATGGCACTCATTCATGTACCATAATGAATCCGTTATTTAAAAGGTAATCTTTTTTCTAAAAATTGCAACTTGGGGTTACTAAATAGATGAAATAGAACAATGGTATAATTCATGTCAGTATCAGTTTCTCTCGTTATGATCACTCCCTAATAGGTTTGGAAGTGTAAGCAAAAGCCAATTTTTCCATTTCTGGGTGGGGGAAAGGGAAGACCCGGGACGTCTTAAAGCCCTGGCCCCTGGCCCCGCTCCAGGAGCCCGGCTCCCGAAAGGGCAGAGGGAGCGCGTTGTCTCAGAAAAGCACCTCCAGGGAGAATTTCTTTTGTGCTGTGGCTATTTCAGCAAAGTAGACAAGGAGCATAACAAGTGTGGAAAGATGACCTATTTTGTACAAAAGCTGACTATTTCCCCAGATGCTGCGTGGCATAGAGGCGCAAAACAGGTTTGCGAAACCCAGCAGGGCGGCCCCGTTCCGAATTCGCAGGAGGAAAGCTCAATCAAAGCAGATGCCTTTTTCCCCTCCATCTTGCAAACCTTTTTCCGGCCATGGTGTTCAGCTCCCCCCGCCTTACCTGGATTCTCTGATGCCTTTCCCAGCTGTTGACATTTCTGCAGAAAAGGGCCCACAGAGCGAAATCGCCTCTGGTTTGGCAGGAATGTTCCTGTCTGCCTGTGGACCACTGCTTCCTCGCCCCGCGGCTTTGATGAGGTGTTGTCTGGGTTCATTTCAGCTGTGAGTTTAGCAACACCAAGGTAACAGCCTCAAGACACAGGGGAAGCCATTCAGAAACTTCCTGTTACATTTATGTAAGTGGCAGTCGGTCGGATTTTATCTTCCAAACAGAGGTAGTGGAGGCTGCCCCCCGGCAGCAGGCAGCCTCCAGCTCCTCAGCGGCTGCAGGCACCAAATTGCTCCACCAGGGTCCAAGACTGCTTTGTGGGAAGCCTGCCAGAAAGAGCCCGCAGGGCCTGCTGGCTCCATAAGGCCTGCAAGCTCAGCACTGGGCAACCATGGTGCAGCTGGGAAGCCTGCCCACCCCACCCCCCGACCGGCTGCCTGCCTGCGAGCCGTTCTGGTAGAAGGGAACAGAGACCACCTCTTTCCCCCCGCCCCCCATGAACAGTGTTTGGCATAGAGTGGCACGTCTCAATTTGGGATTGCATAGTTAAGGTTCCAGTGGTTTATTCCAAAAACAGTCAAGGCAGAAGTGTGCCCCAGGCCCTCACCCTTGCCCAGTGCCTGACGCACGGTAGCTGGAGCTCTGCTGCTGATGGAACAAAGTTTCAGACTGTTGCGAACCGGCTCTGGCGCCGTCCGCTGCAGGCTTCACAGCTGAGCCTTTGGTGCAGACTTCTGGTATGCTCTGGTTCGTTCCTGGGAACATTTAATGACGGCTCCCTTCACGGGCAGGCCCTTCCGAAGAGAAGTAGATTTCCAAACTATGCAATTGGAAAAGCGAGCAGCCCACGTTTAACTTGTATGTATGGTTATTAAAGTAATATTTACTTTTTGATGTTTTCTCAAAGGCATACCCGTTAGTCTAGCCCCTCTCCTATCCCTCTCACGGAGGCCTCCAGAGGGAGAGACAGTGCTCAGAGTTACTGAAGTAAGGGGAGGAGACACAGAGGTGCTCATGAGCTGTTTATGGGAAGAAGGAAGGAGAGCCTTTAGCCCAGTGTCTGCCCTGCCCAGGAATACCCTCTATGACCTCTGGGGCAGGTGATCATCCTGAGGTGCTGCTCCAGTACCTCCGGTGTCTGGGACCACCACCCCCGACCAGCCCTTCTATCTCTGCGAGGTCCTCCCTTGTCCAACTGAGCTCATGTTCATACCCATCCAGCCATTTGGGGTACAGATGCGTTCCATTGACCAAAATGTGCCAACTGTTCAGCCAACAGTTCTCTCTTGCTCACAGAAGTGGGGTGAGGGGCTTCTGCTAACTCAGTGCTGAAATCCTGAGAAGCTCATGTCCCTTGCCGTGCCACTTTGTACCCTATCACACCGCCATAAAGCCCACCTTTGATCCTCATGCGTCTGCCGGTAAGAATTTCTTCTGAAAAATACTTACAGGTGTACAGAAGGATTTACCCTCAGGGATGAGCACTGCTGCTGCTTAAAAATAATACTCAGGAAAGGGGTTTGGGGGTGGGTCTCCTAAATGCCCAAAACAAAAGCAAAGGGTTAAATTATGAAACATTCTTACATTTGATGCCTTAACTCTTTAGGCATCAAAAAATAATGATTTGGATAAGAAGGTGTGGGTGAATGTTGTTAAGTGACAACCAGAATGTGCAATGTGGTCGCATTTCAAAAAATATCCAGGAACACCTGGGCGGCTCAGTCGGTTAAGCGTCCGACTCTTGATTTCCACTTAGGTCGTGATCTGACGGTTGTGGGATCAAGCCCTGCGTCACGCTCTGTGCTCAGTGTGGAGTCTGCTTAAGATTCTCCCTCTCCCTCTGCTCTTCCCCCTGCTTGCACACATGCTCTCTCTCTCTCCCCTGCCCACTGCAAAAAAAAAAAAAAAAAAAAAAAAAAAAAAAATCCAAAGGTCTGGAAAGGTACCCACCAAGGTGTTTTTAGTGGTTTTCACCAGCCTTTCCTGCTCTTTTCTTCTTTTTTCCTTCTTTGCGGTATCTCATTTCTGTATGTTGGCAAGTGTTACTTTTATAATAAAAAGTTTGGGGGCACCTGTTTGACTCAGTCAGTTAAGTGCCCAACTCTTGGTTTCAGCTCAGGTCATGATCCTCGGGGTCCTGGGATTGAGCCCCACGTCGGGCTCCACACTCAGCACAGAGTCTGCTCCAGGATTCTCCGCCCCCCTCCCCCTGCTCGCTCTCAAATAAATAAATCAATCTTAGAAAAAAGAAAAGAAAAAGTTTAGACCCTAAGCTCATTTGGCATGCTCTTAGTAAGCCGTGCTGGGCCCTGTGATCACCTTGCCTTTTCTCAGTGCTCCCAAGCCTCCTGACTCCCAACAGGCTTCTGAATTCTAGTGGAAGTCACTTCCAGGCCACAGATCAATAATTTTTCGATGGTCCTTTTAGAAAATATGGGGGTTTTTTCCTTATCGTCCAGCTACTGGAATCTCCTGTCCACTGATGTACCCCAAAGACCACTGACCACCAGTCTAACACTGCGGTGGTACAGATGTGGACTGGGCGCGAGAGCCCCGCTGCTTGGGCCATCTCTTCACCTGTCTTGTTCCTCACACCCCACGTTACCATATCGCTCTTCTTGTTAGGGCCTGAGGATGATTTTCCTTGAAAGAGGAGATAGAAATCGAAGGGTATGTGCCTGGTTTGGCTCACTCTATTATCCACGTATGTTAGAGTTGGCAAACCACTTTTTTTTTTTTTTATGTTTGATAAATGGCAGCTCATGGGCTCACGCTTTCCTGGCAACATTCTAATGGGCATGTCCCACTTAAGACCTTACCTCCTGGGTGGTGTCTTCTTGGGCCATGTTGATTTTCTAGATTCTACCCTAAAGCCCTACTCCTGAGAGTCCTTGTCAGACTTTTCGGGGGCTGTTAGTTTTCTTCTTAAGTCTCTGTTCTGGGGACGCCTGGGTGACTCAGTTGGTTAAGCAGCCAACTCTTGATTTCAGCTCAGGTCATCATCTCAGGGTCATGAGATTTAGCCCCGTGTCGGGCTCTGCACTCAGTGCAGATTCTGCTTGAGATTCTCTCCCTCTGCCTCTCCCCCCCCC